CGGGAGAAAAAGGCTTAGAAGTTCAATACCTTCCAAAAACTGCTAGCAGTTTTCCAGAGATTCTTTTTTATTAAAACAAAAGCCTAATTTGAAAAAAAAGGCTCTGTCACGCCCTAGAGCTAGATATGCTCTTCCAATCAAAAAACAAAAAAATCTCCTACGATGAAGCGCTGTCGAGAATTCTTCTTTCGGCTATTTGCGAAATAGTGCTAAAACATAATTATTGTTGATTAAAAAAAGAATGGGCTCGGCCATTTTTTGAATAACTTTTGCTAGAAAGTAGCTAGACAGCTTTGATTTCTACCATTCGAAACAGGAGACTTGGGGACATGTTTCCATAGGCAAAACTTTTTCAGAAGAGTTCTATGAACCAAAACCGTTTTTCTCCGGTTAAAAATGACTTACCTATGAGCAAATGACTTACCTATGAGCTTTTTCTGAAGAACTCATGCAAGAAACTTCACTTTTTCGCATTATTTTTTGAGAAACGGGCTAGCTCTTTGCTTAATTTTAGGCATGGCAGTCATTTTGAATTTCTCGGCTTGTCCAAACGTAACGGTGTTACGTTTTGGATCCACTAAAATGAAATTATCTCGGAAGCTAAGATAGTTAAAAAGCTCATTTAAACGCCATTCGATGCAACTCGCCGACCCCCATTTACGGTATAAAAACGAAATTTTTTGCATGAAGTCTCGAATATTGAGAACGGTTTTTGTAGGCCGTAACGGCGTTACGAAAAAAGACCCTTTTTTCGAGCGCTGTCAACAAAAACATGCATTCCAACAAAGGTAAAGGTCATAATGAAAAGTTTTTGGCACAGAAATTGTAGAGCACCAAACGGGCTATCCGATGGTAAAAAAAAGAATTTTTCCAACATCTTCAGTTAAGGCGAAAACATCAAAACATAAACGTAACGGCGTTACGCACTATTTTGGTCGATTGTTTTCGAGGGACTTAACATGATCAGAAGATTTTGATATTATACAGATAATTATTCGTGCTACAGTCAGCCGACATACGCAAGAATAAAGTCGCTACCTCGCGTTGGAGGGTCAAAAACTGTAAATTAAGTCGGAAAATGTACAAATATGTACAAATTTTCTAAAGCGCTGAAGCTCAAAACCAAATACGCCATTTTGTAGAGAATTAAATTCCCTACGAAACCCTATGTTTAGAAATTTACTTTTCGAAAACTATCTCGGCTAAAAATAAAAAATTCGATTTTTGAAATGTTCAAAAACCGGTTTTGAGACTCAAAAACCAATTTTTATCAAAAAAGCGTTTTAAACGGGTTCTTAGAATTAAAAGTTACATCTGGTGATGTGTTCAAAATTTTCGAAAGCGAAAATGTTTTTTTTATGAACTTGATCAGCGAAGTGTCGCGTAACGTGGACAAGCCGTTCTATTGGTTAACGCACAGAACCAGCTAAACCCTACCCCGTTCGTATGATACTGTTTAGTGTTGAAATAGCAAATTGGCCACTACAAATTATTCCTTTTAAAGTTAGATAAATCAGACTGAATGAAAAACGAACAACAAATCCCATATCCGTTTTTAGGTGCGAAAACACTTTGGCAGTAACGCCAGAATAATGGTGTCTAAAAACAGAAATAAAATAAATATTTTTCTGAATTCCTCCTTTCCAAATTTTATGCTAAGTTAATATAGAATTAGTTCTAAGATTTTTGATATGTATATGAGTCTGTATCCCCGAACTTAGCAAAAGTTCGTACTTTTCATATGAATAGTGTGTTTTACGGATATTTTTAAAACAGAGATAAATATCCAGTCAACTACGGCGATATGGTGAACAGAAATCTGATCACTAGCCGAGCGCTGTTTTGAGATTCCATCAGAGGACGTCGTTGTTAGAAAAAGTAATATTTTTGGAAAATCCAGCACAGGTTTTACACAAACATTGATATGAAAACATAGCCAGTGAAAAACCGAATAAAATACTTCATGAACAATCTTTATACATCATTTCAATAGGAAGACATTATTTTTACAAGTGACAAAGTGACCTAAAAGACGGTATCAGAGATGTTTTAAGTACTTTTTTCTCCATATGCAAACGAGGATCCAACTTGTATTTGGTATAGAAAATAGCCCTTGATCTACTCTACAATATTTTATATAGAGGATCTGTAACCATCATTGGCCCAATCACTCATAATTTCTACGAAAGACGAAATTGCACCTAAAGACGATATCAGCGATGTTTTAAGTAATAAAATTAAAAAATCAAAGTTGTAATAAGAAAAAACTGAAATTTGATGGTAAAAATTGCAAAATATGAGTACATTTCCTTGATTGTTCTCGTATTTGAATTTAAATATTAAAGGTCCTCTATATAAAATATTATAGAGTAGATCAAGAGCTATTTTCTATACCAAATACAAGTTGAATCCTCGTTTGCATATGGAGGAAAAAGTACTTAGAACAGAAGAGAGGAAAAGTTTTTTGTATATTATAATCTTCGTTAAATAAATTAAACTAACTACTCAGAACATCGTGATATCGTCTTTCAGGTCAATTTGTCTCGTGTAAAAATAATTTCTTCCTATTGAAATGATGTATAAGGATTGTTCAGAGACTATTCTATTCGGTTTTTCACTGGCAATTTTTTCATACCAAGGTTTTTATAAAACCTGTGCTGGATTTTCCAAAAATATTATTTTTTCTAACAACTACGTCCTCTGATGGAATCTCAAAATAGTCAACGTTAAAAACGTACTTTGAGCTTATTTTCCATAAGACATTTGGAAAATGTGTACAAATGACTTTTCTACAAAAGTCAAGTCAAAACGAGCAAGAAAAACAGGGGGCGGTTTTCTGATCCAGTGAGTCCCTCGCACGAATGATGGCTCTTATCCTTGATCTGTTAGACACAAAAACAAAAAATCCACACGTTGAACTTTGTTTCTGTCGCTTTTCATATCTGCTCAAAAATTCGTCGAGAGCACGTGGTGTGACGCTCTGTCAAATGCCTGTTCAAAATCAAATTGTACCAATACCTAATCAATACCTTTACCCAAGTTCCTACATATATGATGAACGATCTAGGGAAGAGCGTTAGCTTTATGCACCTAGCAGCAAAAAATATTGTTTGTTATAAGAGTGACTATGTAAATAATAATAGAGTTCTTGAAATGAATTATCTCAGGATTGACTGATTTACTTGTTCTTATCTTAAACTTTACCTTGAAATTTTGCTGAAACTCTTATAAGGTACTCCTGGGTACATAAAAGAATATTTTATTTAGTGGTTTCATATTCATCTTCGTCTGTGGTAAGAAAAGAAAAACATATATCCGTGGTAACTTATAGGCTTAAACAAATATAGAGGTAAGGAGAAAGAAAAGTAAAATTATAGAAGCATGTTTACGAGATAACATTTTTATATTTTGAAAAACATTTTGTCTTCTGTTTTCTTCTTCTGAATGAATAAGGTGGTAACTGAGCAACTTGTACGATATGTTAGCTCTATTAATGCTCATGATCTTTGTGATCTCAGCAGAATTTGAAGGTAACGATTAAGATGTGACGGAACATGCTGGCGTAACATGTAATTTGAGAACCAGTGATTTAGAAATGTTTAAGCATATCGTAACTTCCGTTGCAGATTTGTAATGTTTATTTGAAATAAAAAGCATTTTTCTCAGCTAATAAAGCAGATCTAAACAAAACAGACGTTTCTGAGTGATCTACAGTGGTTTTTCGGAAAGCTGTAGAGCTGACAAAATTTTTACTTTTCAAGGATAGTTTCTAGTGTCGATTCTAGCTTTGTTATAACGGGCAGACATATAATTTGGCAAGAAAAAGTCTTCTAAAGCTCGGAAACATCTGTTTTTTTTAGAATCTTTTGCTCTATTTCACTGTAAGCGTTGAAACTAATTCCTGGTTCTGCCTGATTTTCTGATAATGTTCTAGAAAACCGAATCTCGCGTTGTGGGATGATGCAGGCTTTGATATTAATTTTAATGCCACATTCGGATAGAGGTGAAAAAGCTGAATCAATTTAGGCGTCTAGCTTCACAGTTCGAGTTAACGTAGGGTCAAACGTAGGATGTGTATAGACTAACATTTGTTAATGTTCATTTGGCATAATGCAATAGATCAAGGTTTGTTTTTGTTATATCTTCTCGTATTGTATTGGATAGTGTTGGATCTCTCATCGTGTTAGATCTATCCAACACGATGAGAGCGAGAGATATCTTTAGAACAGATAGAGATATCGAGAGTTTCGGCTATTGCTAAGACCATTTGTATTTTCTTTATTTGACTCTGTAATCCCAAAAAAGCGAAGATTCACTAGTCGACCATATTGCTCCAAATAATTCATACGTTCTCTTAGATCTTTCTCTGCTTTTTTCAATTGATTAATCGAATCATTTGTACTACTTTTCAAAGTAGATATAACTTCATTTTATTGTAAGATAATGTTTACCATGTTATCGATCCGACAGTCAATGTACGAACTACTGCTTCTTGCTGTTCCAGACGAATATTTAATAAATCAAAAGGCTTTTCAATTTGAATTATAAAACCGTCGATGAACGACTTTGATGTAACGATCGAACTAATGACATCTCGATTATTCACATATTTTATTTTTGAACTATCTTCACTGGTATTTTGAGTTTCTTTATTCATAATGTATGTATCGGCACACACAGAAGAGATTAAGAGGAAGTAAAAGAGATGTTTCTTTTGTCCTTTCCGTAACTCTAATGCAATTCGGTATGAAAAAGTTATAGAAAACTGGAGAAGAGGTCGATTTTACTCAAAAATATTTGCTCTCTAAGGTTTTGTGGTTTCAGAAAATTTTTTCATGTGGTTTTAAGCTACTGTGAAACCCAGTTTGAAAAACTGTTAATGGAATTTTCGATATGCATTCCATTTGATGCGCCATTCTTGGAATCAAAAAATTTAAAACGTTTTGCACCCATAGTGTGTAACACATTTCTCATACATTCAGATTTTAGATTTCTACATTATGCCTGTACCACAATGGTATTGGAAAGTCAGTGCATGGACAGTTGCAGATGGCGAAGCTGAATGGCTTTTATTTTCTGATGTTGAACAAGAGCTTATAGAACAAGCTTATGTTGGAGGTGAAAAACAAGTTGAACTTGACCACTATATAATTGATTTTGAAAAATTAATCCAAATGCGAAAATCAGATGAAACAAAGCAGAGAAATATAAAACGCATATTCATCGATCATAAGCCATTGATTCTTCGTCAAGAACGGTTTTTCATTACACAAAAATTATCTTCAGATAAATCATCGTTTGGAGATGCATGGAGATTTGATGATTCGGAATTTATTCAACTTTGGGCTCAACAATTTACACATCAACATTATTATAAGACAGGAAAGACACATAAACAACTTGATGACGTCTTGACAGTTGAAATTATCATAGATCTGGCAGCAGATGGAATATTGGCTGAGGGAGAAGAACTGGCCCAAAAATATGCAGCTGAATCACTCGCTCAAGAATTAAAAAATGTCATAGGCCAAGATCTAAATGGGATATATGAATGTTGTCTGAGGTTATACACGAGAACAGGCTTTCTCTGCCAACTTATCAATCGCACACTCAGAGAAGATGATTTATCCAAACTAAACACATTGGGACCATATTGTTATTTATTGTACAAGAGCACAGTAGAGAGGCAATCAAAACATACTTTACCTGTATCAAGTATTTTATATCGTGGGGCATTATTAGATTACGAACAGATCGAAAGTTACCGATCATCAGTCGGGCGACTGAGATCATGGCTCGGATTTTCATCCACAACCAAAAACTGAGAAATAGCCGACTGGTTTGGTAATACACTGTTTACTATAAAAGCTTCTAAACCTGACTTTGTACAAGACGTATCAAATATATCATACTTTCCACAAGAAGAAGAAGTTCTTTTAAGACCCGGCACAGTGTTTAAAATTGAATCGGTTGAATATCATGAAGAACAAAAAAAATATCAAATTCATCTAAATATTTGAAAGTAAGAAAGATCACTCTTATCCTTGATCCGTTAATCACAAAATCCACACGCTAAACTTTATTTCTGTCGTTTTTGATTTCTACTCAAAAATCGTTTCATTCCGCGCCAAATAGAGTTAGATTCAGCTTGGGGACTTATTTCTGAGCTTCGATGCTCCTCGATATTCTTGATTACAAAACACCTTAGCGAAAGTTCTTGAAGCCAAGAAACCAAGATCTTGGGACATTTCTTCGCCAAGATTTTATTCTGGGGCTTTCTTGCAGCAAGAAAACTATTTCTTGGGCATGAATTAACATGTACATTTTCTTGGGTGGTTCTTGCTGCAAGAAACCATGCTGTTGCAAGAAAATCTATTTTGATGATTATACGAATTATACGAGAATACGTTTCTTGTAGGTTCAATAAAATCACCGATCGTTCATTGAAGATCACACTCAACAAAGTTGTTAAGGCGCGGCTAATTCAAAAGAGGAGCATGTTTTTATAGAGGCTTCATCGGGACACCTGTGGAAATCTGACTAGTAGTCATCATCGCATTTATTTAGCATAAGATGAACCGGCTGAACATATCGACATCGGTAACAATAAAATCATCCGTCCGTCGAAATTCCACGAAGCTGACTAAAATAAAAATTACTTGTCCACACCGAAATTTTGGTTGAACGATATCTGTATTGCGTGTCTTTTTTTGACTGATCTTATTTTCACTCACTGAACATTTCGTTCATATTCTTTATTAATAGTTGCGTGAACTCGAATCAGTTTCTATGGAAAAAATGCATGTGAAAGTCAAGAAATTTGAAAGTTTAATGTAAATACTCTACTTAGGGCTTGAAGACAAGGTTAAACAAACAAAACTTTTTTCTTTGTTGTAACGTTCTCTATATCTGAGAGACGAAAAGATCAATCAAGCCTATGTTTAAATCAAGCAGTAGAAATATGATATCTTCTAGCACACTCCGTTAAACACAGCATCGCACGTTGCATTGAGGTACTCATAACTCAGAAAGTATGTGAACTGAAGACTTTCCTGTTTCCAGTCTATACTCAGTCTGCCGAACTTTAAAACACGTGTATTAAATCGACCAATTCTGAGGTATCTCGTTCCCTGTTCTTCAGTACGTTTTTAGAAACTGAATTTTAATTTTCTTGCAACTAATAAGGGAAGTACTTCAAGTAATCCAACGCTTTTTCCTCGAAACATACATGGCTATAGGTAATTTTCGATGTTGACCACGAATATGGTATCCGTTTGTCCTTTACAGTCTTATGGTGTAGTTGCGTGGAAGGCAGTCACTGGAGACCAACTTTAGAATTCAACTCTGGTCTGTCTGTTTTGTAAAGCATGGCGAGTTACTTGTATGAAACCATTGCCAGACCTAAAGATTGGGCTTTGATTGACTTAAAGAAATTGTACCGAAAAAAACGTGAAAAGTCAACACTTTGCCGTAAATCGAAACGTAGTATTTCTTACCCGTAGCGATAAGGCAGTAATTACACAAATAAGTAACGTTTCTATCAGTAATTGTGCACACACCAAAACAAACGTTAGTCGATACATGTCCGCAAGGCGGTCATGCTTTAGAAGCTTATGATACAATGTTAGGATTGGGAAAACACAAAAGGAAAATTCGTTCTTTTTTCTCTCCATCAATTGTTCTCTCTCATAATAGGCCTCTAGCAAATAAGGAGATATCTTTCTCGCACATGTAAGATATTCGTAGACAAATGTGTCAAATGTTTGTCTTTCTGTTCTCTTTCCTCTCGTTTAACGTGCTCTCTTTCCACGTCAAATGTGTGGCAATGTCCACACATAACATATGTTGTGTAAAGAAAGATATCTCCTTATTTGCTAGATTCCTAATGATGTTACTGATACAGACCATTTTCTTTAGTACATGTACCTACACGTTTGTTTCATTTGTTTTCTCTTCATTTTATTTTACTGTTATTCTTTTGCGCTTCATCTTTTATTGTATATCTAGCGAAAGTTCTTGGACCCAAGAAATAACAAGATCTTAGGGCAAGAATGTCCCAAGAGCTTGCCCATTTCTTGTGCAAGAAACAATTTTTTATCTTCTTACTCAACAAATGTATTTCTTGCTATGATAAAACGTGTTAAACAAGAAAAAAGCAAAAAAATAAAATATTTTTTTAAAAACTTTGATTCGAACTCACAATGCAGCGAGATATAGCCTGTAGGTTATAATATTCATAGTCCAGCGCCCTATCACTCAGCTATGCTGCTTCGCTATCTTATTTATCTTGCACTAACCTCACCATGAGAAAAAATCTCGAACTTGCGAAAAATGAATAATTAGATTTATCTTATCGAGGAAGCATCCGAGAGTGCTATAGCTGCAACAAAAAAATGTCCAGAATTTGTTTCCGCATCGAATAGAACCCATACAGTTTAAGAAAAAACTCCTAGTTAGCGAAACACTAGTTTTGATAATTAGCGTTTTTAACCATGAAGAAAACATTTGACAAACTTGATTCGCAACGAAAAATGACGAAAATGAAATTTCGCATATTTTATTCGCTGGTAACAACTTTGTTGAGTGTGATTTTCAATGAACGATCGTTGATTTTATTGAACCTACAAGAAACGTATTCTCGTATAATTCGTATAATCATCAAAATAGATTTTCTTGCAACAGCATGGTTTCTTGCAGCAAGAACCACCCAAGAAAATGTACATGTTAATTCATGCCCAAGAAATAGTTTTCTTGCTGCAAGAAAGCCCCAGAATAATTTCTTGACGAAGAAATGTCCCAAGATCTTGGTTTCTTGGCTTCAAGAACTTTCGCTAGCGATTGTATAAGAGTCTGTAGCATATATGATTACGCTTTGCTAGTGTACTAATGTAGTACATAAATGGTTTAAACCACCCTATGGAAACTAGTCGGCGATAATGTTGAATTCATGGGGAGTTCGAGAACGGCCAATTTTCCCACTTTCGCACATGGATTTTACTGATAAGATTTTCCAGTAAGAATCAGGTGAATCATTCTTTCGATAGAGAGCATGTTCTTGTAATTTTTTTTCATCACAAGGCGAAACATATTAAGATAAGAAAAACAGCTTTTAAGTATGTGGAGTGGCAGGAAGAATGTCTTATTTATCCAATATCGATCCCGACTGTTATGCAAAATATCACAATAAAAAAGTCTTTTAGTTGTGAAAGTCCTCAGTCAACAATCAACATTCTTTTATTTCATTTTGTCGCTCTCTTGTTTCAAACCTATCCGCTCTGTAAAAAAGTTCTTGGTACCTTCTGAATGATTTAACAGAGTAAATTTTCAGGAGAGCCTTCCAAAGGGATTTTTAATTCAAGATGTTCAAAAAACCGACGTAAGTTCAATTAATCGACGTAGATGAATTTCATGGTGTATAATACTCTGTAGTGCAGAAGAAAGATGCTTGGATAGCTCAGTGTTCATCGAGGAGACTTCCGGATCATTTCGAAGGAGATAGCCACTTCCGGATCCCGATGGAATGTGGCTGTATTTCCCTTTGACGATTGATTTTACACCCAGTTTAACGATTTTTCTCAAAATGACATACTTTTTCATTTTGGGCTTTTTCGAATTTTTGAATATTAAAATACAAGAAATTCTGAGCATCCACAATTCTCAAACATCTAAAACTTTGATAATTTTGGAAGTTTTAAATTTCAAACTTTTGAATTTTCGTAATTCTCTGAATTATTGAAATTCTGGAGTTTTCGACTCGAAAATTTTTCTGCCTGATAAATTCGGGATATTTTACTTTTAGAATTGTAATATATTCGATTCCGGATATTGGAATATAAAACATTTGGAGCATCCAGAATTTCAAAAGTGTTTACTTTTGTATTTACAGATTTTCGGGGTCTTAAGTTATGAAAGTTCAAGTTGTGAAAGTAAGTTATGAAAGTTGTGAAAGTTCAAATTTCAGATATGTGATTTTTTGTAGATCTCTCAGTTTAGAAGACAACGTCGTTTTGAAGAAATTTGCAGGCCACAATCATGCCTCGTTAAGAAAAGGCTTTGAATATTTTTTAGAGTTTCGGAAAAACTGGTTTCGCAAGAAATCGGGCCTTCTCGAGTCCTAGGCCCGAATTCTTTTAGAGTGTTTACTACCTCACTGATGTTTATCGATCCATGTACAAAGCATTTGATGAGAAGTGGGCATCGCGGGAGGTTCCCTCGTCAGTTAGTAGAGTATTCCAGTCAGCCGCAGACTGTTGTAGATAGAGTAGAGCTGTGGCTACATTTTAGTAAAAAGAAAAAGTTTGCGTCTCTTAGGTCAGGAACTGTTGATATTTTATGGAAAAGACATAAATCGCTTATATCTCACTAACCATTTAGTAAAAGAGGCCCAAACTTCGTAGGCGATCAGCACTTGACAAGAGCTATGACCACACAAAAGTAGAAGCCCCTAGCTATCATGATTTTTGAGTTACAAGAAGGGCGCGACTTTTGTGGTGTAGTATAGTATCGAAAAGTAGCAGAAAAATATATTAGTACAATCACGTAGGGTCTCAGTTACCATAATATTTATAAAAATGACAAATATCCTAATTTTATAAGGATGCTAAGTAGCATGCTTATCGAAGTCGATGCATGAAATTTTTTAAATATATTGGTCTATATCTTTTTGGCCATATATTTCACTATGCAATTATTACAGGAACTGCTAAGAAATTAAAATAAACGATATTCATAAAAACATAAAATGACTATGATACTTCAAATTTCTTCAATTCTGTCTTTCTTTTCTATTGTGACAGAGCAATATGTTGCCATTAATAGCAATAGAGAACAAGAAATTCACATTGTTATTGCCATTATGTTAAAAAAATTTATCATATCACATTTGTTACGTTTTTCTCACAAAAGGTAATTAAATATACTTTAAATGTGGAATTGGGTCACTGGATCTTCTATAAATTACATAGTGTTACGGTAACTCAGCAGTTAGAACTTCTGAAGCTTGGATTTGATCTTTGCTTAAGGCATACATTTTGTATTCATATACTTTTCTATGAAATTATCTCTCTTTTCTAGGCGTTGAAAAACCTGAGTTCAGGTACAATATAATTAAATCATAGAAAATTGTTTAAAACTAATGTCAACAAGGATTTCTGACGAGTATCAAAATCAGCTTCGTTATTTGATTAATCGATACATATTTGATACTTGTTATGCACCACAATGTGAAGAATTAGCAACACTGAGTAATACATCCGTAGAAGAAGTCGAATTAGGATTGAAGGCACTTGCTGATAATCATGCTTTAGTATTACATCCAAATTCAGTTAGTATTTGGGTTGCACATCCATTTGCTTTATTTCCTACACTATTCTGGGTAAAAACAAAGGATAAACAATGGTGGGGAAATTGTGCATGGTGTTCATTTGGAATTGCACAACTGACAAATGAAGATACAGATATTTTTACTAAACTTGATGGTCATATTGAATCACTCACTATTCACGTAAGAGACAACAAAATTGTTGAAACAGACTATGTGGTTCATATGCCTCTGCCAGTAAATAAATTATGGGACAATGTCATTTACACATGTGCTAATATTTTAATATTTAAAACAGAAAACGATATTGATCAGTGGTGTAAACATCATAATAAACCTAAAGGTGTTGCTTTGTCTGTTGAACAACTGTGGTCATTATCAAAATTATGGTACGGAAACTACCTTGATCCAAATTTCAAACGTAAAAGCAAACAATTGGCAGAATCAATATTTACGCAAGTTGGTCTTATCGGAGATTTTTGGAAATTCTAAAGATAATAATATAGTCAGAGAACGATTTTCGCTGTAGCCTCCATTATGGTTCACTAACAATCAAAGACGCAAAACAAAAGTGTTCTTCTTGGATTTTAGTTGTTGTAAGTTTTATTTATTCAAGAAAAGAAGGAAAACAAGTTTAAATAAATGAAGAAACCAAAAAGAAAGAGGCGAATCCATTGTATCATTTTGTCTATTCATACATAAGAAAAGATGCAGTAGTATGTAATTGTAGACAAGAAAAAAACAGGATTTTATGTCCTTTTATTCATCTAGTTAGTCCAGATAAACTTCTTTTTTGATAGAAGCAACGAATTTGGAATACAGTTAAAAACAGTCCAATTTCATAGGTATTTTATCGGTTTATCTTTTTAAAATGTTTTAATTTTTGCGTAGTATTTTTATGGATTCATCAAACAAGTAACACTCACTGCAACTCATTGAATCCCTTAACTGTAAGTAATGGATCGCTCGGATTAGCTGCAAGACACAGAGGTGATATAAACGGCTGACATTTTTACGAAAAGTCGATTCATCACTGAAAGTTAGGGAATTCAGCGAGCATTACTTGATTCTATTAATATTATCTTTATTCAATATTGTTATATATTCTTACTTTCTTTCCCGTAAACAAGTGATATGACTTGTTCTTACTGTCTGTTAGCTAATATACTAACCAATTCAACTGATATCCAGCAGACACGTAAAACAGACGTTAGAGACATAGCAAATAAGGAGATATGTCATTTCGTACACACACGAAATATTCGACAACATATGCGGCAAACGTTCTTATTACTTTATTCTCATTCTTTCGTCAACACCATGCCATATGTATTCTATATATAAAAGTATCACGAATGTACCGTTTGCGTCTGCAGATGCTAGTCAAATGTCGAATAAATTTATCTGTTTTCCTCAACTGTCTGTTTGTTATTTCAACATAACTTCACATGCAAATCTTTTTCCGATTTCCATTCTGTGTCTTGTTAGTCATACCTTTCAAAAAGTTCTTTATAAACAGCTTCTATCGTTTGTTATCGAAATAAATCTTATATAGGTGGAAATTGTTTATGTGAAAGCATAATGAGAGATAAACAAACAGAAACGATTTAAAGTATAAAACAACCCATGACAGGACAGTTTCGGTATATTATATCATATATTTATCGCGATAAGTGCTTGTTTTATCGAGGTCGTCAAGGAGTTTTTGCGGTTATGGCGATAATTACTTTATTTCGATAAAGTAGCTCATTACCACAATAAAGATTGTTTATCGATAAACCGCAATAATAACATTAAGGCAATAAAATAGGTTACTTTGTCCGATAAATTATTTATCGCCGTAACTGCAAAAATTTCGTGACGGTCTCGATAAAACAAGCGCTTATCGCGTTAAGTGTATTGAAAATGTTCTCATGGAAAGTTTTTGCAATGATAAGATAAACGAGAATATTGTTTCGAAATAAAATTTAGTAGAAATCTCATGGCTGTTTGCGATGGCACCTTCTCAAGTGTTGGA